AGACTGGCAGATGCGCAGCGCGAATTACACGGTGGATTGTAACGACAGGATCGCCGCGGGATATCCGCATTACGTTCTGGCCACGTAACCCTCGTTAAGGGGCTTCTTAATGGGGGACGGAACGGCCACCCCCGTATTGCTCGTCGATAGTTTAACGGAGACTATTAACTAACCAAGCACGACAACCTGCTACCGCAAACTAATCCGGGTAGTATAATCTCGATAGCGAGAACGTACACTGCGATTACGCCGCAAGATCGTCGACTAAAAAAGGGGTTACCGAACACTATCGATGTGCTTTTTATGACGCTTGATTGCAAGCAGTTCACGGTAACTGCGTTATTGATGACTTACGAGATTAAATTATAGATAAAAATCATTGCGTGTTTTCATATAGCACATTAACAAATTTATGTAAATGTGTAATATTATCTCTAAGTTTTGCAAAAAAAGTAACTATTTTTTTATCTAAATCTGTATAAATTTCTTAACGACTTTGTCTCGCATCTTTGACTTTTTTAAATTTCTCCTTGCATAAATCTGAATACTTTTTTGAATTTCTTTACATCTTATCAGAATTAAGGGGGCTATCGATAATACACAGCCGAAAATTAAATTTATTTCGTACAAAAGAAATTCTGCTTAACATTTCATCTCTCTATTCTTTTGCAGCTCTTCAACGCCGACGATTAATTGCCTCCATCGAGTCTTTATGGAAGCAATTTCCAGTAGCCTTATATAAATCCGGGAGTCTTCGAGAATGAACTAACATGATGTAATGGTAATTGGTCGATCATGGAGTGCCGTTGAAACAATGCTAATAATAGGGGACGATCGGATAACTATGCCGCGTCATCATCTTCATCTTCCTCTGTGGCTATCGTGGTTACAAAGGTGAGGCAAGAAGGTCGCGCGTTAATGCATTCAGATTCTGTGAATGGGCGTTTATCGAATAAAGTGCTGGGCGTCCACCTTTGGCGGTCCCTCGAAATTCTTGGCGCAGCATTCGCATCCTCTTTCGACTCTTCATTTACTTAATTTAAAAGACGCAATTCGCCAGTAGTAATTAAATCACAAAATTAATGGATATTCTACGACTTGAGAGAGAGAGAGAGAGAGAGAGAGAGAGAGAGAGAGAGAGAGAGAGAGAGAGAATTGATATCCTTAACATTTTATGAAGATTTTATATAAAATAAATATCTGCTGTTTCTCTCTCTCTCTCTCTCTCTCTCTCTCTCTCTCTCTCTCTCTATCTCTTTCTTTTTCTCTCTCCGCGTATATCTACGTTATACTGGCAACGTAACTCATTTTCGCAGATCGTAAATTTAATTACATTGTTCACATTATTTTACGCAACAATTAATAATAATAAGGCTATTCCGTCATAGCTAACGCCTTTTATCGTTTTCAAATTTTTTGTTCATTCAAATCAATTATAAAATAAAATAATTTTTAATTGAAACGTGTGCTGCGCGAGAAAATTGCCTGGTAATCCAAGTTAGAACGGCGTACCTAATTGGCGGACTTATCGAATAGCGGTGTACCTAAGGTCGAAGTAAATCTAAAACATATTCGGCGGTTAAACGAAGCGGAAGGTATATGTTTAGTCGATTTAGTCTCATCCCCGGGAGGGGTTGTGGAGAGGCACGCGTACAACCCCTCGCAGTTCGTCGCGCGCGAATATCATCCCTTCCGGTCGTCTGCATCGAGCGCAACCCCCTACTTTTAGTCACACCAAACGCTACCAGTTATTTATACGCACGTCGTTCAACTCTGAACTCTCTCTAGGACTGCCTGGTCGTCGATACTCAGTACCGTATCGTGGAATCTTATCAGAATTATTCTCAAAGTGAAATAAGTGAACATTAAAATTCCTATTTAACGCAGTCTTTTCTTGAAATTTTCATCTATTATTCAATAATACAATCTTCCTTCCTTTACAATTTCTTTTTCCTTTTTTAATTTTCTCTTCTTTCAAATATGTTAGATGTAGCTATATATCATCCTATAAAATAATAAAATAAAATAAAAGTTTACATACTCGCAATTTCGATAATATGATGAAAATGATTTCGAGTGTAGCGCAAGGGAATTTGTCCAGTTTCGTGGACGAATTTGATTTCATGTACTAAAACTTTCATAGATTTTATTCCAACGTGAAAAACAAGCTTTATAGTTTCAGAAATTCTCAGAAGATACCCTCAGCAGTCGATCCTTCACGACTTCCAGTCGCGCATAAGCACAGCCCTGAACTCGACGTTCTTCCCCCGCCGAAAATCGGTAAGAATACTGCTTCGTCGAGATAAGAGTTATCTGTTGGCGTCCGATACGATATAGCCCTCGGGTAGTACGCGCACGTACGTACCCACACGCGTGCACATGTGTACACACTGCGCGCGACTGTGGAGGGACACTTTTACCCTCTTTTCAGGAACGGCGCGCGGACGTGCACACATACACACAAACACACATACACACATATGCACATCTCGTTGGAGGTCATCGGGGTGGTTTTTCTTCGACGAGGGTGTTATGAGCCATTGTTGGTCATGATGCATCGCCTCGTAAATATTGTATCGGGACGGAAAGTAGCTCGGCGGTTAGACGATAAACTTTCTTCCGTTTTCGTTGCAGATCTTACCGAGATTCCGCGCCCTCCCGGAGGAAGCCGGCAACGAATACGAAGAAGGATGGCATCATCTACGCGAAATGATCTTAATGCGAGCATTAATCTGCGATCTGCGACTTGAGGCGGTCTATAAGATACGCGATTTTCGCGCTGATATTTCAGTGGAATCATTAAGGAAATTTAGTAGATAGGTATACGAAATCTAGAAATATGACAATCTCGGTTTTTAGTTTATTGTATTATATATAAAAACTAACTTGCGCATTACTATATTATATTGTAATGAAATGCTATGTTGTATGATCTGTAATCTCGAAATAGCTAGAACTTAATAAACGGTTACAAAGAACAATTGTTTTTTTCTTTAAAACTAAACTGTCGACTGTAAGCCCGATTAAAACTTTAGATATGTAATATTTATTGACAATTGCGAGAGATTAATGTGTTACAATTTTATTTCATTTTAGAAAAAATTAAACGACAATTATTGGCACATTAATCTAATAATTTATCATAATTTAATCTAATCATATAATTAGCAGAAAAAATATTAATATGCTAATCTAATCGTTCGTTAATGAGCCTCTCATAATCATATATGTATTTATCGCGCGACAGTTTCTCTTTAGGAATGTAACACGTTTCTTGATACGGTCTATTCTCGTGTACTCGCATATTCCCGTTTTCTTGGACCGTAAAGTGAATACACTCTAATGCTCACGGCTCGATAAGTATAAAGATGCTCTACAACGATTTGTCCTGTACGGAGAGTAGCCGGCGTAATCTTTGTCGATGCTATCTACCCGCGTCCGGACTATAATTATATCGGATCCTCGAGCCACCGCATATATTATTATTAATATACTTGTAGCGAACGCTATATGTGTTTCACGTGTGCGCGTTACGTGTACGCTACAGTACTCGAGCGCAGTGTTTCGTGCGTTTGTGTGCACGCGCATGTATGCAACAACGGACAATGGACGCCCGAGGACGGGGGTGGAGCTCGAGGAACGGACAGAAAGAGAAGCCTTATTTGCATACGGAACCACCCTATATAATGTGGAACGGTTATTTCGCTATCCATAGGGTGTTCGTATCAGAAATTTTTCCAACAATAAGCATCTATTGCGTCGTTGTACAATGGCTGCGATACAGTTAAATGGATTGTCGGAAAAGAACGAAACGCTCGCCCAACTAGTTCTGCCCTAACGTTCGGAAGTATAATAGTAATCTTCATTTTATCAATCGCAAGTGTTTAGTCATGATATGCGGTTAAAATTATATTGGTAAAACGGGCAGATTACTAAATAAAAATAATTTTTGCTGCTTGGATAAAATTATTTTGCTATTAACGAAATAATCTGACAACTTATCTGTCGGAGATTTATCGTATAATGCGTTATATCAAAGTCTTGGCTCGCGAAAATAGGAAAGTAAATCCGAGCGAGAAGCCCGGCGAAAGGAGAGATCAGCGAAGCTTTCTCTCGTGGTTTGGAAGGTTGAAGTCAGGAAGAAGATAGCCGCGAGAGCGGAGTGACAGTTTCATTTTCGGGTTCTCCTCGTCTACAACTTCGTCTACGTTGGCGAAAGGATCTCGCCGTCGCCTTGGGATAAAAAGCGTACCGAAAAGGACGAGAGCGGACGTCGTCGTCGTCGTCGTCGTCGCGAGACGCGGTGCGGCGCAGTGTCGATTGAACCGACTTTTATTTTCGTTCCCGCAGACGTTTTCGATTGCCTCCGAATGGAATTTTCGCAGTCGTAAGAACGCCTCGGATCATCGCGCCTCGCGCGACAATCGACCCAGCTCTCCTCGATCCATAGATCCCTTCGATCACGCGGAGAGAAGACACATTTTCCAATATCCCGAAATACGTGTCAGAGAAGAAATTGATGCCGTCGAGCAAATCTGCGGATTTAATATCTGATGTATACACGGCGCTATAGCGATCATGTTGTAAGTCGCGCTGTAAGTCACAGAATTCCATTACTAGCAGCTCACAAATCGCGCGTCCTTGACTAACAATGACATCGCGATTTAAACTGTGTGCTTAGCAAAAATATATTGTTTCGCAGGAAAGTTATCGTCAAAATATACAATGACGGAGCAAAGATTATATAATGGTGCAAAATTGTACAAGTTGTCTTCCTCCTCAAAAAAATCCCATGCTTGGTATTTAGTATTTACGGATAGAAATCACAAATAATATTTTTTATCGGTTCAATGTGTCGATCCAAATATATGGAAATATGATTTTTTTTCGTGTTTGAGGAGCGCGAGCAAATGGGAGAATAAAAAGCTTTGTCAGCGGACGTATTTACGCTATTTTCCGAGAGATCTTAGTCCTCAACAAAAACGCTAACCGATATATTTGAGGGATCATCCCGAGATTCGATCCGCGCGCCCACCTTCCTCCATCTCGACGAGCGTTTTGACATTTTTTCGACATATTTTGATGCATCATTCTTCTTGGCGGATTTCGAATTCTCGACGGGCGCCCGTGTGGGGCCTCTTTTTTCCTGCTCTCCCTTTGCTTTGCACCGCGTTTACTAAAGATGACAGGTATGGACCAACGTCAACCACTAGAATCGTAGTAAATATACCGACGCGTGATGATTCTTTGAAACAGGATACTCTAGCTATTTCGATGGATTAAATCGAGCGTGAATAATGTAATTGCTTATGAATCAAATATTCTAAAAAAATCATGTTTGTTTTTCACATTACGAGGTTACAAAAAAATTTTTTTTAAGATTGATCTATTTGCGGTAAAAAAAATCACGCATCTACAGGTACTTATGATTAAGCAATCTGCCGTCCGCCGCTTTAATTGGCGTCTATTTGTTGAACATAGCCGTGCTCGCATCGATGGCTATCAAAAGAGTGAGCAACTTGAATGAATACGTGACGCGCCGCCTCGGAAAGGAGATGTGGATCAGCGACGAGGAGAGAAGTCACAGTGAGAGGACCACCGCGATCTCGCTTATTGCCTTGACAAGGATTCCCCTCGCTCTCTCGTAGCTTGAAACTCGAAACAAAAAGCGGAGCCGGGCCGTTAATAGCGATCGATCGCGCGCGCGGCTCGAATGGACGCAAGAGGAATCTGATGTCCGCCGTTCCACCTCTTCCCCATTCTCTCATCTGGAGGCATTTTCACGGACAACGTGTCAGGAATCACTTAGAGCCTCAGGTGGTTAACAATGACACACGTTCCTCGTTCCTCCGCAAGTTTCCTCGGGATCTCTCTCGCGCGCAGGTGTATGCGTGAGTACGTCCACGTGTGTGTGTGTGTCTGTTTTACATATACACGAGATGCTCGGGCTTACGCGCATTCAAACCCACCATTCGCCTATAGACATTGACGGCGAATGGCGGGCCACAATGCGGAGACTAATCGAGTCCCGCGTCGAATATACGTATACGCGAGCGAGCGATCCGGTGTGCACGCATATCGATTAGTATCGATATATACCCGGCCCGGGGTCTCCGGTCCACCAGCCAAGAAGGGACCGACCCCATTGTCTGCTTGACGAACATTGTGCTCCTGCGGCCTGCCTTCGAACGACCGGCATCTTCTCCTCTCTCGCTCGCTCACCTCTCTCTCTCTCTCTCTCTCTCTCTCTCTCTCTCTCTCTCTCTCGTTTTACTTATTCGCTTGTGTTTCTGTCATTTTCTCTTTTTGAACGTCGCTCGACCGGTCCGAGGAGAACGCGAGGAGAGGGGGAACGGTGACACGGGGAATTTCGGGGCTAGCTAATCTCGTGACTAAGTGGCTGCTTCGAGTTTCACTCGTTACGCGATCGATATGATTTGGCAAGTTGTATTATTTGGTCGTATGATGAGAATTATTCCATTCCTCCCGTTCGCTGCGGTCCGAATTCTCGATTAGAGCTGGCGATCAATTCTTAGTTAATCATATTAGTTTTGCTGACAGAAACAAAATGGCTTTCAGTATCATAATCGAATATGTTTCTGATAAAAATTATAGACAGAAACCAAGCAGAGAGGAGAAACATAATAAACCTACACGAAATCAAGTTATGTATGATTAATGCATTAATATCTATATGAACGAGGTGAAGTTTATGGAGAAATAATATGTCATCTTAACCAAACAATTAATTCCCGGTTAATTGTTCTCACTATAAATTTTTATCGATTATATTAATCAACAATTTTTGTAAAATTGTTCTAAAACAATTAGAGGAAATATATATTGAATGGTCCAAATAACTGCTGCTATCATTTTTGTATTAACGTATAACGTATAAAACCGCGATTTTCCCCATTGCCTACTCACACAGAAATTATACTCGACAGTCAAAACATCTATGTACCCTTCGCAGGTTCGCACACTGAGAAAAAAAAATCGTTGATTCAAAGAAATATTATTTGATTTAACTAAATGCAGCGGTCACGGGCTGTCAAGCTAACATTTGTTAATTCAAAAAATATTATATTGAAATAATTTCAGAATTTCTTAATATTACTCACGTATATTTGATTTAAATATATTAATATTTGCATTAAACAAATCACTACAACTAAACGAGTTTAGTCAAATTAACGACATTTTTTTCTCAGTGCAGGACCTCCGGAGGAGGATCTCGCTGAACCTCGGGTCGTAATAACGCGTGTCCCAAGGGTCCGAAATGAGAGTCGACGACGGTGCAAGCAAACCAGGGGATGAAAAGTTCAAACGAATGGGGCGGAGTACGGAGTCAGCGTGACAGCATTCGGGTCACGCTTGTTTTGTACACGGATTCGTCACGACCAATATAATGGCTATTTGACGACGCGTTCGAGCTCGCCATCCTATTGCATGCCGCCAATAAAATTATTCAAGGTACGACATTATGTGACGCGGTCGCATCCGATTTCGGCGTCCGATATCTGCGCGGCGCTCGAACTCGGACACGCAGAAGGGAGTTGGCGAGTGTCGCATTGGTTTAGACATGCGTCCTTTTGATTGTCGTGACGGTAGGCATATCACGGATTATTTCAATTATCTGTTAGTATCGGCTGTAGTTCGAGACGCACCATCGACGGCGACCGCGACAACGATGACGACGACGGCGCGTAATATAATGTATAAGGGGATGGAGCCTCTCTCTCTCTCTCTG